AGCACCATATATTGGCCGCTGGTTTAGAGCATATACAGCTTCCGGGAGAACACTGCCCCAGCCTCGCAAGTTGTTGCCACCTAGTTGGCGCTGTAATTGTGTCTTTAGGAGCCCATTCCATCGTTCTATCAAGCCAGCAGCTTCAGGATGATGAGGAACATGATATGACCAAAGGATTCCATGGGAATGGGCCCATTGCCGCACTGCATTTGCTGTGAAGTGAGTTCCTTGATCTGAAGCAATGCTATGTGGGATGCCATGCCGGTGGATGAGGCATTCTGTAAGTCCACGAATTGTAGTTTTGGTAGAAGCATCGCGTGCATATCCAGAGTAGGTGTCTATTCCAGTAAGAACAAAACGCTGTCCCCTCCATGATGGAAGTGGTCCTATGTAATCAACCTGCCTCCAAGTTGCTGATTGATCTCCCTGAGGAATGGTCCCATATCTTGGACTTAATGTTGGTTTCTGCTGCTGGCAAATGGGGCACTCAGCAGTGGCAGTGGCCAAGTCAGCCTTGGTGAGTGGAAGTCCATGTTGCTGTGCCCATGCATAACTTTCATCCCTGCCACTATGTCCACTTTGTTCACGTGCCCATTGGGTGATAACAGGAGTGGCAGAGGAAAGAGGAGGACCAGTCTCCACAGCGCGTGTCATCTTATTCACTTGATTATTAAAGTCCTCCTCGTCAGAGGTAATCCTTTGGTGAGCATTCATGTGAGATGCAATTATCTTTACTTTCTTGACCCATTCAGAGAGGTCTATCCACACCTCTTCCCCACACCTCCTTGTCACCAATTTTCCAATCATGGTCCTTCCAATTGCCTGACCATCCAGCCAAGCCATTAGCCACAGCCCATGAATCAGTATACAGTCTCACATCTGGCCATTTTTCCTTATATGCAAACTGAATGGCCAGGTCCACCGCTCGAAGTTCTGCCCATTGGGAAGATTTCCCTTCACCACTGTCCTTTAGGGAAATCCCAGAAAGGGGCTGTAGCACTGCTGCTGTCCACTTACGAGTGGCACCTGCATATCGTGCAGAGCCATCCGTAAACCAAGCATGACTTTTTTGGTCTTCAGTTAGAGTATGGTAAGGAACTCCCCAGGAGGCCATTGGTGCAGACTGGGAGAAAGGAGGTAATGTGACAGGAGTGGAGACTGTGGGCATTTGGGTCACTTCTTAATGCAGCTTACTTGTCCCTTCAGGTCCTGCTTTGGCCCGATCTCGAATATACCACTTCCATTTAACAATGGAGTGTTGCTGCACATATCCAACTTTATGATTCCGTGGATCAGACAATACCCAGTTCATGATAGGTAGTTCAGGCCTCATGGTGACTTGGTGGCCC